GAATATAAATTCTGATCCATAAATTTCTGTTACTATTTTATAAACCATTGATAAATATATTTAATTCTTTGTCTTAATTTCTTAACTTGGCCTTTAAAATTTAATCATTAGTCAATAGTTAAATCCCATGATCCTAAATCTTAAGTTCTTTAATTAGTTTTTAGTATTTAACTTAATATTTCTTTTATTCTTATTCTATTATCCTCTTCAATTTGTAAACTAAAGTAACTGTTTACAAGTTGCTAGTTGTAAATTACCTTTTGGAAAATAAAATTAGCCCAAAAGGTCAACTAGTAACAATGTGTAGCATGTGTTTAAATGTCATAAATTTATAGATTATTCTTTTATTAATAAATCAATTAGCACTATATAGAAAACTCACACAAAAAATATTATTCTTACAATTAAAAAATCAATAAAGTAACAGTAGCTAATAGGAAGAAATCAAAAATTTTTTTCAAAAATTTATAAATTGTGATTAAAAGAAAAAAATACCATATATCATGGGCCATAGTACCCCTATGCAAAGTACCACTTTTGAAAATTTTGAATGTTTTTTAAAATATTCGGATATAAAGAAAAAGGTTCAAAATTTGTTAAAGATCCAGGTGTCATGGTCATGAGAAATGATATTTATAGTTAAGCAATAAGAAAGTGACAATCAGAAATTTCCAAGAATATTCTTTTTCTTCAGTTCAACAAATATCTTTCTTAAGACAATGATGCAATAAAATTCTAAATAACCTTTCTTGATAAAATTTTCATAAGAATCTAATTAATGGTGACAAGCTTATTGCCATGACTTTGACATTATATCTGATATAAATACATGCATAAAAAATAAATCATTATATAGTATTATATACAATATTAATAATTTTTAAACTTTAATTAGCAATTAATTATTTTATTTTATTTAACATATAGAATTAAATAAATGAATTACAAGTTAGCATATTTGGGTATATTATAAATAAGAAATAATATATCAAATGTGAAATAGACAAACTTATTCAAGATGCTCAACAAAATACAGGTATAATGTATTTAAAGATATTAAAGAATATATAAATATTTCCAGGGTGAAAATCCTGATGAATTACACAAGTTATTTTAAATTTATATGCTAAATTGCTTAAATAATCCAATTAAATTAATTCTATAAAACCATCATATATTTGCAAGTTTCTGGATCTCATAACAATTAATTGAAGATAAGTGAATTGCTTATTGGGAAAATTTTATTGAAATGAAAATCTGATTGAGATGTTTTTGAATTGATATTATTTAATACTGACTTTTAGATATTTTTAAAATTATAAATAATATTTTAAATAACATAATAAATAATTATATATTTTCAAATATTTTCTAATTTAAAATATTCATCTCATTTTAATATTCAATATTCCCACCTTTTACTATTCATTTAATGCCGAAAAAAATCTAAAATATTCATTCCTTTACAATATTATCCCAAACTGCATTTTGCTGAGTATCTTGAATAAATTTATCTTTCGCTTCATCCATTTACCAAAGTTATGTGTTGAATTACCATTTCCAGCTATTGCATTCATCATGCCCCGATGGTTAAAAAAAACTCTGGGCATATATCAAAAGTTTGCATTTTTACACACAGCATGGAGAAGAGAATTGATATAATTTTTTTTCACCTACATTTTTTGATTTATGTTTCAATAACGATCTGCGTCAATTTTATATGTTGATCTTGGCCAAAGTAATAAATAGTTTCGGGATCATCCTGACAATATTGTCAATTCACAAATACCAATAACTGCAACACACGCTTTTCCCGTCAAGATCAGTAAGGATAAGATTATTGGGGATCTAAAGAAAATTGTCAAGTTGAAGAAAGCACCCGAGTTTGATAGTTTCCCCGCAGACAAGCTTAGGCTATGGAAGGAGGAAATCCCAAGCAGTCGCGACGACATCAAACTTTACAACGCGGCGATGGGTTACTGATATCAGAGACTATTGGACTGACACACCTCCGGAGAAACTTATCCATATCATGATCGAACAACCTTCACCGATTCTCACCTCGAGTCTTGAACAAGATTTACAAGAATTAAAAGACAAAATCAGCACCACTTACATACAGTATGTATAAATGGAGAGACTTTGTTGAATTTCCAGTGAGCTTTTTATTAAACTACCATTATTGTGCAGAGTTTGATCGTTGTTAGCCAAAAATGGTCGAAAGCATTAAAGTGGAACGTAAATGTTGGTGAATAAAGTTTAAAGAAATTTATATATGAAAATTACGAGATACCAGAACTAAAGAAAGATACACACCCCAAAATGATCAAGCATTTTGTCGGCAATTTTTTTCAAAACAAAAGTTCAAATTAACCGTATTCATAGGAACTCCCTCAAAGCCCTTGATTTTCCAGATATGTGCCGCCTCTACGGACTTTATGAAAGTGGAAATATCAGTATTCTCACCTTTCACATGTGGATGCAAAGATCTAAAAGATGAATCCATTTAAACATCTTATAACCGAACCGAAGGCCGTCTCGAGTCCGCTCCAATCAATGTAAATGAAACATCGAAATCACATCATACCTTTTTGCCAGTGCAAATCTATACAAAAGCAAGTTTGAGATCTGATCAAAAAAGAACATTACAGGATCCAATGGCACGGACCAGTTGGTTTTGCAATAGATTTACTTCAAACTTCAAAAATTGCTGATGTGACAGTAGTCAAGATAAATATTTGTAAAAAGGTGTTGCTCAAAATGCTGTTCAAATAGAATCGGTTTTATCAACCCGCAAGCGTAAGGCTGGCGAGATGGAGGAAGAAAGATGCTGAAAAATGGTATTCTTTGGAATGTTTTTACGATAATGAAGAAAAACCATCAAAACCAATAATTGTTGCATATAATGGTGAGGATGTGGGGAGTGAAGTCAAAAGGGTTCTCGGACACATTTCCTGGTTATTGAAAGAGGCACAAAATCCGACAGAGGTTTACAAAGTGAAGGCAACCCAAGGCAAAAAGGCAAAAGTTATCAGAAACATCCGAAACATTAGAACAAAAATATATCATAATAAAAAGCAGATTTATTTTTGAAAGTCATATTTCCATTTGATTTTTAATCGAGATGATTACAACGGATAAAGATTAACAGAATAATATTTAAATTATTCAAGATGATATTGATTTGTAATAGTTATACGAATGTATATTAAAAAATATAATAATAAAGAGAATTTTTTTGTTTGATTCGTGATCACGGTTGATTTTTTAATAGTAAAATTCATGATCTGATTACACAGTTTAATCATTGGGAGATAAAAACCTTATTTCTTTCGAAACATTTAAAGTTATTGATTATTCAATGAGACCTAATTCTCGAAGACGCTCTGGAATAACTATATATGGGTCTTCGTTAATATCAACCTCTACCAAAACAATCCAACACAATTCTTTCTTGAGTTGATCCCATGCTTGCTGTTTGATAAAAATTTTTTTGGACCCTCATGACATTCTGTACTTCGATAGCGATAATTCATCATCCACAAATCATCTTTGCCTGTTCTTCCCGTATAAATTTTATATTTTAATATTGTATTATTTTATTTTCATTTTTTATAATTATTTTTTCTGTTAATTATAAATTTTACAATATAATTGTTCATGCATTTGTAGAGACATTATAAAATAACAACACCTAATTTTATAGCTATACCTTTTTCGAATAAAACAAAATAAGAGATGATGTCTTGGAGAAGTTGAAGACATTTTATTTTCTATCATGCATTATACTATTGTATACTGCGCAAAAATCAGAAATTCTGATTTGACGATAAAAAAATTTATCACATGGATTTCTAATCAACATAAATTGAGAAAAAATAAATAAATAATAAATAAAAAATAAATAAATATTTTCAATCTCTGTTTTTGATAAATATTTCTTATTACGTAATTCTTTTCTTTTTTTTTCATCCAAAAACAAATCAAGATATATTTATATATAAATAAGAAATAAACAGAGTTCTTTTGCTCAAATAAAAAAAAAAAACTTGAACAGAAGAGGGTATGAAAATGCTGAATGATGATGGCAGGTATAAAATAATACAAGGTTGGAAAAAAATGACCAAAAAAAAGAGAGGAGGCTAAAGGTTTGTGTGATCAAGCATGTCTAATCACATGCATAATATTTAATAAATTATTGTTATCGTTCTCGAAATGCCCAACCAGCATCTTATCAAATGAAAAAAATATATATATATATATAAAACATGAATTGCAAAATGAAACTAACAAAATATAAAACAGGAGAAATAAAAGTGAAAAATCAACCAACTCCTCCCAATCCTATTTAACATCATCACAAACCCTTTCCTTTTTTTTTTTGTTTACCACACATTTTTCTCCATTAAAATATGCTCACATCGTTCGTCCTGCCATTTCACCCTTCTCTTTTAGTAGGTTTCATTTTATTTTCAAAATGAAAATTTCAAAGATCGCCTACCGAATTTGCCATACTCCCACTCATAACGCCTTCATGAGTTGGATTAAATGTGAAACCAGCAAATTGTTGTTGCACAGTTTCGGAAAGATGTGAATCATTCACCAATGAATCTTGAGGTGTTTCAGAAGTGAATTCTTCATCAAAATTTGAAGTATCAATAGCTGATTCCTAATAATATTTTAAAAAAAAATTTAATTAATTATTTGCCTTAGTTGCATCATATTAATGAAATAGGTACATACAACACTAGGTTTGAATGGTGGTTGAACTTTCTTTTGCATCAATTTCTTCCAATCAATAGACATAAAGAGAGGATGATCTTTAATTTCTTGGGCACCATTATTACCAAGACGAACATTGGGATCTCGGGTCAGTAACTATAAATAAACAATACAAATGATCAATAAACATGATTAAGATATAATTAATAAATTATGTATCAAATATCATTAATACACACCCCCGTTAATAAACTTCTAGCTTCACTCCCAACTTCCTCGGAAAATCTTAGTTCATCCTGTAAAATTTTTCTATACATTTCATTCGTATTTTCATCATAGAAAGGTGGCAACCCCGTCAACATTTCAAATAATAAGACGCCTAATGTCCACCAATCCACAGTTTTTGTATAACCTTGTCCTAATAACAATTCAGGTGCTAGATATTCTGGTGTCCCACAGAAAGTATTTGTTGTTTCAGTTTCAGTCATATTTAGTTTGCAAAGACCAAAATCACATAAAGCGATATGTCCAGAATAATCTAAAAGAATGTTTTCAGGTTTTAAATCTCTAAATAAATAAATAAATAAATAAATATGTATATATATTAAAATTTTAATAATGTAATAATTATAATAATAATAATAATAATTTTAATAATTATAATAATTTAAATAATTTATAAATATATAAATAAAATTACCGATAAACCACGTTAAAGTCATGTAAGCATTCTAATGCGCAAAGTAATTCAGCGGCATAAAATCTTGATCTCTCTTCATCAAATCTTCCTTCCCTCTGTAAATGATGAAATAATTCTCCACCGTTAACAAAAGCCAAAACCAAATACAATTTTTCTGGACTTTGGAATGAAAATTTTAGTGGAACGATGAAAGGATTATTAATTTGTGCTAAAACTGTACGTTCAGCAAGTGTGTGATTAACCTCTGACCGAGACACTATATGGGCCTTACGTATAGTTTTTAATGCATAAATACGAGAAGTATCTCGCTTACGAACTTGCATGACCTTTGATTATAAATAATAAATATTTATTAGTTCTTTTCTCTTTCTTTTTATTTTCTCAGAATAATAAATACCTTTCCAAAACTGCCTTTACCAATAACTTTTAATAAATCAAATGCATCTATTGTCAAGGGCACATTTGCCTATATAAATATGTTATATTAATTATATCAATTAGTTGTAATATAAAATAATAATTGATTGAAATGTAAACTTTGCAAAAATAAACGTTGAAAATATAAAAGTTGCAATGTAAAATGTTTGAAATAAATTTAATAAATGCAATTAGACATCTCTAATAAAAAATAATTACATACATGATCTTTCTTGTAACAAACTTGTACGTAAACATTACCCGAACCTGATAATTGATACCATTGTTCATGCATTTTCTAAAATTAAAGGAAACATTAAGATAAGAAATTTAAGAGACATTTAAGAAGAGTCATTTAAAGGAAATATGGATCAGAAAAAATTACAATACATACATTTGGTTGATTGAAACTTGGAGTAATTTTAACACCACCCAAAAATACATCATTCCCCATATCATTTGTATGATTGCCAGTTTGTGTTGCTTGACGAAGATAAATTTGTATAGATACATCTGATTCACGGGATACATCACTGGAAGGAAAGAAAGAAAAAAAAGGAAAAGGAGATCACATTAATAAATGAAGAATATATCAAGATTACATTTATAATTGTATATTTCTAATTATGTATTTATAGATTATATTTATAATTATATTTATAGATTATATTTAGATATGATAATATAAAAATACATACAAATGTGCCTTATATTGCCAAGTTGGATTTTGAACCTCGCCACCTAAAGCATCGATCAATACTTCATTTTTATCAAATTCTAATACAACATAAGGTAACCACCAACATAATTTCCTTTGTAAACTATCTCTGTTACCGCGAGTAGTTGGAGTAGAGGAAGAAATTTGTTGAGGAACTTGAGGTAACCTTATGCCAGGAGGTAAACTGATTCCACGTGCTTCAACTACACGGATGAGAAGTAGACCAGAAGCAGGTACAGGAGTGGGACTTGTGGGGGTGGAAGGGGTATAACCTCCATCATTTGCTACGGAGGGACTTTCTCTTCCATATTGTGATTTATGCGATGGTTGCCACAGACGCATTGTATATAATAAAGGTTCTTTGTAAAATCAAGATTTATTTAATAAATAAAAGAGAGAGAATGAAGAAAGAATGAAATATTTTAAATATATAGAATGAGAAAATATGGAATATATGAATATATGAATTATATGAAATATATGAAATATGTGAAATGTATGAAATATGCACAGATATGAAGAATATAAAGTTCGTGAAAAAGACTAAAATAACTAATAACTAATGGACTTTAACACATTCTAGGGACACACATAACACATATTGCATTAATATTATAATTATTATTATTATAGTAATAGGTAATTATAGGTAGGTAATAAAACAGTTGATACTGGGTAATCTATAGGTGATGATTGGTTCAACTTCTACAATTTAATACAATTTAATTTAATTGTACTTTTTACTATATCTGAAATTAAAGAAGGAAAATCTATTTATAATATATTTATTTATTAATAAACATTTCGATATTATTAATTAAAATTATTATTAAGTTATTATTTTAGAAATTTATTGTGAAAAAAACAATAATGAATATTAAACAATAATTGAAATAGGGAATATTATAATAAGGAATTTATGTTATATGGGTTATTGAATGAATAATCTTCAGAATATTGTTATACGGATTTTTCTATCCATTTATCATTTTGAAGAGATAAACCTGGTGATTCTTAATCTATGATTAAAGTTTGTGGAATTACAGATTTATATTACATTTACATTCAAAAAATCTACAATATTGAAGATGTAAAATTAGTTTTTAAAAATCATAATATTTGTTTGCTTAAAATTATATTTTATAAATGGTAATAAATAGTATTTGCGCAGCAGCTATTATTTATAATTCTTATAGTCCGGAATATTTATTAAAAAAATTAGTAAGGGACCATAACCATATTAAATGCAATTCGCCTTTAACAATCTTTGTTTATTGTGTAACTTTATGAAATTACAAAATGGAAATAATTCATCACAGTTGCAACATATAAAACATTTTAGTTTATTAAGTAAATATCAAAAACGGTACTAAGTAGCCTCAAAGACAAGATTAAATTACATCTTCTGTAAAAATTTCAAGTTTATATAATCAAAGTTGAAAGAATCATTAGCGGTTAAAGTTCGAACGGATGAAAAATTTTAAAATGACAACCATTCGCTCAATTTTGATGACATAAGCTTAAATTTTTATAGATGTACTTTATTCTCATATTTGAGGCCACTTAGTACCATTTTTGACATTTACTTATTAAATAAAAAGTTTTATATGTTGCAACTATGATGAATTATTTCCGTTTCTTATATTATTAGTCACTGGATATATCACCAAAAATTTAAGCAAATGTAAAATTATGTCGATCGTTTATAATTTTATATGTTGAAATTACTATTAAAAAAAAGTTACCTCAATGTTAACTATATTTAATTTGTTCACCTTACTTGTACCACCATGATAATATGTGATCTGAAGCTGTAACGAATAATATAAAATTCATTTCAGCCTTACTTTTAAAAGATCTTTGACATTACAAATTAGACTTGGCCATCAAATGGAGATTACAAATACTAATGAAAATATATTTAACCTATCAAATTTGTTAAAAACAGACTCAGAAGATACACTTGTAAATTATGAAAATAAAAAAGAAAATTTTTTTGATGAAATTTATAATGCTAATGAACAATTTTCATTTAAATTTAATATTGAAAATTTATTGATGACAAAAAAATGGTATTAGATAAAGAATTAAGTGAAATTAATTGTGAAGATAGTCAAGAACAAGATGATTTTATAAAAATTCAATCAAGTTTACCTCCAGAAATAAGTGATTTAGATAAAATACAATATTTTAAATTTTAAATTTTAATTAAATTAATATAATTTAACTTTATACTTATTTTTTTTTAAAGATAATGGAAAATGATTTACAAATATTAAATTTAGAAATAATATCAATTTTGAGACAAAGAAATTTTTTCAGAAATGTTGAAAATTTGAGAGTATTATTGTTACTTATTAAAAAAGCTATAGTGAATCTTGAATATACAGTGACTCACAAAAGTACTGCAACAAAAAAAACTAATTTTCAAATTAATATAACTTAAGAAATATAAATCTTATAATAATAAATTTGTATTTATTAAATAGTCTTGGTTTTATATTTTATATTAATATAAAAATTATTGTAAGTTAATTATAAAATTCTAGAAATATATTTATTTATTTAAAATTTCTATGTTGCATTACATATGTGATTTTTTTAAAAATTTAGATTTTGTAATTTTCTAAAAAAAAATAAAAAAAATATAATAAAAAAAATAATATATTCTAATTGTTTACTATATATTACCATCTTATATATTCCCCCCTTACCTTTATTACATCTTTTACTCTTTGTGACATTGACTCAATTAATTTAGTACAAACTTCAAAATTAATATCATTCTATGTATCTTGAATCTGTTTCTACAACTGATCTTTCTTTGTAACTTTTACAAGAAGTTTTTTCAATCTTCTATCTACTTTATTTCACAAATACTCAATAGGATTCAAATCTGGAGATTGAGCTGGCTACTCAAGTACCTTTATGTTATTTTTCTCAAACCACTTCTTTATAAGTTTAGCAGTATATTTAGGATCATTGTTCTGTTGAAAAATAATATCTTCTTTATTTAGATTATACCAAGAGAATGTTCCTAAAAAATCTTCTATAAATATTCTTCTGTAAAGATTACTATCCATCTTTCTATCTATCTTACAGAGGTTTTTCACACCAAGTAAAGTAAAGCATCCCCATACCATAATATTTCCATCTGCAAATTTTACAGTTGATTTCATATGGAAGTCTCATAAAGGTTTTTCCACTCTCTTCTAACAATATTCTTTCTCATCACTACTAAAAATATTGAATTTACTTTTATCTGATCAAATTACCTTTGACCAATTTAAATCATCCAATGGAAATACTTCTTCACGAAAACAAATCACTGATTTCAATATGTCTTCTTAAGGTAAGGCTTTTTAATTTTAGTCCTTGCCACTAGGTCATTTCTCCAGAGGGTATGGCATATAGTTCAGTACTTACTTCTATATTTTCATCCCTTTTGAGTTGTCCCTTTGCTTGAATTGCCATGAATGTTTTGTTAAATGTTATAAGACAAAGTACTTTTCATTTATCACGGTTGGCAATTAAGTGTGGACGTCTAGATTTCAGTTAATTTTTGTTACTACTTGTCTCTTTTAACTATTTATCTATTCTAAAGACAGTAAAGAAGTGAATACTTTGATATGAGCAATATAGTAAATGGTATTTCTTTTTTCAAGAAGTGTAGCTATCCTAGTTTATTTTTCAGTAGATATTTGTTTAATAGATAGTTTTTTTAAATATATTAATTAAAAAAAAGATCAGTGAATAGTTTTTTCTTAATAAGAAAAAGTGAATTTTATTATTATTATTATTATTAAAAATTAAAATAATAATTTTTTTAAATAATATGTAAAAAATTACAACAATAAAATAAATAAAATCAATTAACATCAGGTAACACAAGATATTAATCGTGATAATTATTATTTTAATATTAAATTTAAGATAAGATAAATATAAAAATATAAAAATTTTTTATATTTTTTATTAAAATTAATGAAAAATACTATAACAAAAAATAATTTTTTTTTGTTATAATACTTTTGTAAGCTATTGTAAGTTAATAATTTTAGCTGATTGTTTTATTAATCTTGTAACTATGACAGTAACAATTAAAGAATTATCACAAATAAAAACTAGATTTTCAAATAAATATTAAAAAGTTTTTAATTGATAATAAAAAGAATTTAATTTTAATTATTATTTGTTAGCTTATTTCTTATATCCTAAATATAGAGGTATTTATAATTTTTTTAAATTTAAATTTAAATAAATATTTATTTATATATTTAATAATTTAGATACTGGTTTACAAATAGGTAGACAACTATACAAACGAACGATCATTGATAATTGGAAAATTTGAAAACTTTTGGAAAAATAACACAATAAAAGAAAATCTTGATCAGATCCACCTTGAATTAAGTAAATATAAAGTAATAAATATTTATACAGATGGGTCAATGGAAAAACAAATAGCCATAATAATGAGGGTAAAACTATAATAGGTTGTGAATAGATAGCTTTTGGTGAAGAGAATAATAAATTTACTTTTAAAGGAAAGGTAGAGAAAGCGGCATCATCAACAAGAGCAGAAATTATGGCAATCTTAATTGCAATTTATGCAATCCCAAAAAACTCAAAATTAATGTTATATACAGATAGTCAAGTAGCAATAGATGCCATTAAATTAGAAAAGAAAATAGGAGATAAAGTGTATAAAAAGTTAAAAAATTAGACACTATTGAAAGCGATCCAGGAATTAATACTAATGCAAAGAATAGAATTAAAACTTAATAAAATTAAAGCACACGCAGGTGAGGAATTTAATGAAATAGCAGACAAACTAGTGAAAGAGGATTGTAATAGTCTACCATGCAATCCCAACCTACATTTACTATCGACAGTAAATGTCATAATGTAATGGAATTCGATCTTTATTGAAAAACCAGCTCGAAATTTTACCAAAAAAGTGTGTAAGACAAAATATTCAGCTAAATGGAGATTACTTAACAGAAATACATCAAAACTAACGGATAAAAAAAATGAACAAATATACTGGAACTCGACATGGGCGACAACAACAAGGTCACATATAGGAAAGCAAGTTACTAATAATGAAGACAATAGAAATTGAGCATTTAACATTAAAATATTAAATAACGAACTACCAACAATGGAAAAATTAAAAACTAGATTTCCATCAGTATACAAAGATAATATATGTGTACGATACAATAAAGTGATAGAAAATCAAACACATGTTTTTTTATGTGAAAAAAATCTAATAGATATAAAAATGTGTAAAAAAAAACTAATTTCAATAATGATAAAGAAAATAAGTCAAAATAGTT